ATTGTACATAATAATATCACAGATGATAAATTCAATAGATTTTAAGTAGATGCTTGTGCATTCTTAAAGTCTTATGAAGATTGAACTATGAACTATTGAACTATGTGATGTGCTGGAAAAGCTTGAAAAGGGACCTTGAAGGTTTATAAAAAGTGCTTGAATTTGACCCTGAAAAAGGAGTATGAACCCTGTCACTCCGTGCGTTCATCTTTGTAATTGTTAATTTAAAAAAATTAATTTATATTTAACATTAATAAAAAATAATTAATTTGATACATTTGCAGTTATGATCATAATCATATTTATAATCCTATTTATTTCAGTCTGAGTTCAACAAGAAGAACACATTTTATGTCTTCAATCATGTGGACATCAAGATCAAGTACCACAGCGGCAAACAAGAGGGATGGACAGGAGCTCGACTGGTTGCTGCAACTCTGGAGCCAAAGAGGTAAAGCTGCGTTTGTAGTAGATGTGATAGCACCGAATTTTGAGCTAGTCTACATTGACGTTGCAGCTGAATGACAACAAAACCAACCACACTATGTCATGAATGACATTCAGTATTAATCTGACATGATGCTGTTTTGTTTTGTACACAACAGTATCAAACATACAGATGAGAAAAACCTAAATTGTGATGGAGGCAACCCAATGGAGGTCCCTGCAGAGTTTAATGGTGATGTGTCAATTATTTACACCTACGCTGTGACATTTGAGGTAGGCCTCCTAACTTTAATACTGATTACATGTAACTAATATATACAGATTTCTTTGCAACTATGAGTGGGGAAAAAAAGAAAACTAAAATTGTGATTTAATTTTCCCCCAACAGGAAGACAATACTATCAAATGGGCATCTAGGTGGGACTACATCCTGGTCTCTATGCCTCACACCAACATCCAGTGGTTTAGGTCTGAAGATGTGTTTTACATTGTTTACCCAAAAATATTTCTCTCAGACTCTACTGCTTGTGATGCCTGTTTGCTAACGTGGGGTATATCTTGTTGTTTTTCCAGTATCATGAACTCCTTGGTCATTGTGCTGTTCCTGTCTGGAATGGTTGCCATGATCATGCTGAGAACTCTGCACAAGGACATTGCCAGATACAACCAGGTGGACCAGGTAAAGACACTAAAGTCTCTGTCTTATTGGTGCAGCATATATGTGAGCTGCAGTTGTTAGTATTAACCTCAAAGAGACCAGATGTTATTTTATTAGGTAATTTAACTATAATCAGTTCTTGTTTTAAAGTAAAAAGTAAACTATATTAAGTGAGAATGAAACTTTAGCAATATCAATGAAAACTTTGTCTTTCTAAGGCAACAGCCTGCTCTAAGGAGCAGCCTTGTTTCTATCTTGGTGTCTGTGCGCTGTTGTGTATATTCTACTCCACAATTTTATTAGCATTTATAAGGTTACTTAATGGTTGTGGTTCTAGTTCATAATGAAATATTTACATTTTATCTAAAACATTTAAGTGACGAGCATTAGACTCTGAAATCTTATGGCTAGTAGTAACACGGTGCCTACAAATCATCTTCATCAAAGTTATATGGCTAATAATTAATTCTGAAATGTAAGATACCACTCAGTCTAATAAGATAAATCCAGAATTATAAATATTTTGTTACATTTCACAGGGAGACTTGATAAAGGTTCCATCGACCAAGGAAAAATCTACTCTATATGTAAGCTTGTCGAGATCTGTTTTAAACAAAACATTTAGGGTGCTGGGTGTGTGTCATTGCAGAAACATTCGACCAAAATATAAAATGTGGTGTGGGAACTGTACGTTAAAACTTCTATAAAATACAGGTTTAAAGAAATAGGCAAATAATTTAGAATTTACTGCGCTTTTTTTCCTTCTACACCTCATTTTAAAGCTTTTGGTAAAAACCTTCTTAATCTTTACCTCTTTCACTTTTTTTTTTCAGTATTTAGTAGTTGGTAAATCTTAAGCTTTTTATCATTTAAGTTCATTTAAATGAAGTATCAAATACCTAATTAATTGTATATTTTTGCATATTGACCTTCCCAGGAGGATGCACAGGAGGAATCTGGTTGGAAGCAGGTGCACGGGGATGTTTTCCGTCCCCCTAGGAAAGGGATGTTGCTGTCTGTTTTCCTTGGACAGGGAACGCAGATCTTCATCATGACTTTCATTACTCTCTGTAAGGACTATTTCACATTTCACCCTAAATATCCTTAACAAAGACCCCATCAACATATATTTACCTTTAAGCATCCAGCAATAATAATCATAACAAAGACTCTGTCAAGCCAAAGTCGGATTGTAGAGTCTAAAGTAATGGGGCAGCTGATAGAAGTGAAGTTTTCTGATACTTTTGCATTTCAATTACAATTGTGATTCTATGTATGGATGACTGCACTGATGAATGTTTGTTTACTGTAGTCCTCGCCTGTCTGGGTTTCCTGTCACCGGCCAACAGAGGGGCTCTCATGACTTGTGCAGTGGTACTCTGGGTTCTCCTGGGTACACCTGCTGGTTATGTGTCAGCACGTCTTTACAAAAGTAAGAGTCCAGTGATGACTTTCAATCGTTAGAGTCCATATATACAGGATAACAAAACTTTGTGATTCTTACCATGAAATTCTCATTCTTTTTTCTTTTCAGCTTTCGGAGGTGAAAAGTGGAAGACAAACGTATTGCTAACTGCACTCTTGTGCCCAGGGTATGTTTACTCTTCTTATTTGTTTATGTGTGTGAATGTGTGTGTGAATGGGTGAATGACTGAATGTAGTGTGAAGCGCTTTGGGGTCCTTAGGGACTAGAAAAGCGCTATACAAATGCAGGCCATTTACCATTTGTTTATCTGCTACTCATTAGTCTCAGTCGCACTTCAGCTCTGTCCTTGAGTGTTGCGGTTAATCTCCTTTTATTTACCTTGTGAACTGCTATTATTCCTCTCATGTGTATCTTTGTCCACTTCCCCTCCCTAGAATTGTATTTGCAGACTTCTTCTTGATGAATCTGATCCTATGGGGGGAGGGCTCCTCAGCTGCAATCCCCTTTGGTACTCTGGTTGCCATTTTGGCCCTGTGGTTTGGAATCTCTGTACCCCTCACCTTTGTTGGTGCCTACTTTGGATTCAAGAAACCAGTGAGTTAACCTGCTTAATTATTCTTATGCAATCAGTTAAAACTGATTGGTAACTAAATGTGTCAATTTGCTTCTGTGCAGGCAATTGAGCAACCAGTGCGAACAAACCAAATCCCCCGTCAAATACCTGAGCAGTCCTTCTTCACCAAACCCATCCCTGGTATAGTGATGGGTGGCATCCTCCCCTTTGGCTGCATCTTCATTCAGCTTTTCTTCATTCTCAACAGCATTTGGTACAAAAACAGGAATTCTCTCTCCGGATTTTGCTTTTGTGCCACAATTTTCCATATATCCAATAATATGTTGTGTTTGTTTCAGGTCTCATCAGATGTACTACATGTTTGGATTCCTGTTCCTGGTTTTCATCATTCTGCTCATCACCTGCTCTGAGGCAACAATTCTGCTCTGCTACTTCCACCTTTGTGCTGAGGTACCTGAATTTTGTGTGTCCCCCAGGTTCTGACTTTAGTTGACGTGTCATTATTACATTATTACTGAATTCTAACAAGTCATTCTTTGTCCTATGTGTTAAGGACTACCACTGGTGGTGGCGATCCTTCCTGACCAGCGGCTTTACAGCAGTCTATCTGTTTATCTATGCTGTACACTACTTCTTCTCAAAGCTGCAAATCATTGGAATGGCCAGTACTATACTCTACTTTGGATACACGATGATTATGGTCCTGATCTTCTTCCTCTTCACAGGTGAGGTCTTTACTTTTTGAAAATGAGCTCTTTTAGGAGCTACTGTTAGTATCTAGTTACCTTGGCATATAGATGATTTTAAAATAAAGGGCTCGCATAATGCTCCAAATACTATGGCCACTGAAGGGGAAAACAGTTGTGTTTACAATGCTTAACTGAGACTTGAAAAACGAACACAATGTCTTTACTTGGTTCATTAGATTCCTCTATGTCAGTGGGTTAATTACTTTAAGCACTTGCACCCTGTTAAAATGCTAAAAGGGCAGGGATAGCTCAGTAGGTAGAGTGGTGGCCCCATAATCGGAAGGTCGGTGGTTCGACTCCACTGAACGGCTACCCTGAGGTACCCCTGAGCAAGGTACCGTCCCTACACACTGCTCCCCGGGCGCTGCATTGGTGGCTGCCCACTGCTTCACTGGGTGAATGGGTTAAATGCAGAGGAACTATTTCCCTACGGGGACTAACATGCACACTTTACACTTTTACACTTTACACTTTAGCTTAACTTGCAGAAATACAGCCTTTTGTCATATCCAAATTGTAAGGAAAAACTACTACTGGCTGTAAAAGGCTGATAGGATATTGTTGTCATCTTCCCGGGCGGACAGTGTGGACACATGAATTTGTGAAGAGGATAACTCAGCTAGACGACATGGGATTTTATAATTCTATGGGTGCATCGACAATAAATCTTGGACTAATTTAAGTCTCAGTAACCTCAATACAAAGTCTTATCACACTGCAGCTTGTAGTCAGGACTTAATTACAGAGAGAGTTTAGATACTGCTGCACATATGTTAATTGCACTGAACATCCTTTTTCTAAAAAAAAAGAAAAAAAAAAAGCTTATCTGATCTTTATTTCTGACGAATGAAAAAGCTCTGAGAGCTAATCGCACGTCTTTGGTGGAAAGAGGTGTGTCGTTTATACATGCGAAGTTCAATGTTTGTTCTCTGGGTCAGAGATTACAATTTGCATCAGTCACCTGTAAAAGGAGGATTCAACATCCTGTTCATATAATATTTATTCCAGGCAGCTGTACTACTACTGTGCAACCTTTGTTTACTTGTCATATATTGAGTGTCGGCTTCTTTCCTTTTATTGTTACTGGCTGTAGAGAAGCACAGTGTTAAATCCTGTTAAATAACAGTTATTTGCAATGGCCCAATCAGAATAATTTTATTTTTAGTCTCTCTGAAGTGTAATGAAAATCAGAGACTGGGAGGAGTCCCTCTTGGTCAGATCTAGTTTTGCAGATTTATTTGGGTCAGTTTTTGTCTCTATGGTTTTCCAGTTTGACAAGATGGAGCCCACTTTTCTCAGGGGGTTTCTTTTATTTTTGTTCTTTTGTTATGCAGATCAAGACCACATTCATGCATTGTCATGGATTGTGATACATTTGTCCACACTCACTGACCTTCTTTGTTAATATAGTTTTCTCTACTCTGGGCTTGTCTAGTTCTATTTAGGGTTTACACAATTTATGTACCGAACCCATGATCACACTGCTAAGATAAATAGAACATTTTTAAGACTTCACATAAAGATTGACGAATGTTGATATAGTAGTAAGTCTTTGATGTCATCAAATTTTCTTGCGCTTTAACTGAAATCAAAGTAAGAGTGTGTGTAGAAAGAGGAACATATTAAATACTAGATAACCAGGAAATACACGCCTAGTCTGTTGGCTGCCTAAAGATATCCGGCTCGCCATGTGTCGAATGACGACATAGTTTTCTGGTGTTATACTGTCAGTCGGTCAGATAAAAGTAAGACTGCAGCTTTGCTTGTCACTGCAACACTGTTTGACAATGTTTTAAGGCAGAGCTGTAAGTCCCAAGGGGATAAGATGTCAAGATTATCACCAAGAAGTAATCCAAGGATTCAAGGGGAAAAACAGTTTCCCTCCTTACTTCCAGTTTTGATCCAAATAATGCTAATCCCTACTATATCCCTTTTTAAAAACTTTTTATTTTCTTGTCTGGCTTTCACCTCATCCCAACTTTGATCTCTGCTTAATTCGGGATTGGACTGCGTGGCCCTCATTGAGTAGTCAGGACTTTTATACCCAGTTGATGTGGGATTTTTACCAGTCTGCCTTATCAGCATTTCAGAGCTCATGCAAATATGCTCTTTCGTTGACAAAATTAAGCACTGATGCTGGTTTTGCATTGGAAATTGCAGACCCAATACTGAAAATCTCTTATTTTCTACCTTTTAGTGGATGAAATTTGTTGGGCAGTGACACCAACTGGCTGTCTTGTATGCATTTTTGCATTTGCTAAAATCTTCTAAAAATATTGTTGTCTTTCACTGACTTTGTATTTTATTCATGATGAATGATGCAAGAATTGTAGTTATAGAGGCGGGCAACTATTTATTATTTATTATATTTAAGTTACTATTACAATTGCACCATTGTCTACAGATGGTCTCTGTATAACACTTTGTTCATTCTAACCTGTCTTTTATTCTCAGGTACAATTGGCTTCTTCGCCTGCTTCTGGTTTGTAAATAAGATCTACAGCGTGGTCAAAGTGGACTGACTGAAGAACTCTGTGAAAGGACTAACTCCTAGATGCGACAGCACTGGCCTCCCCGATGCTGGTTTTGTGACAAAGGCCTGAGGTCTGATTCGACCTGAACTGAAAAACCATCACTTATCATAGAAAACCCCCCTGATGAGCAGAGCCCGTCCTCTTTTTGTGCTTTAAACCTCTGTTGCTATTTTCTTTTTAAAAATATATATCATTTCGCATTTACTGTTGACTTGTAATAATTTGAATGGCGCCTTGAAAATCGGCCTCGGTTCCAATGATCTAGCTGTCATAGTGAGCAATGTGTGTGTGGGAATGTTTTTACTTTAATTTTCTAAGGAAGGTAAAATGTTATGTATTTATCTGTTCTATTCCCTTACGGCTAAAATTCTTTTTTTTTTCTTTACCTGTACTTTAATGATTAAAAAAATGTGTGTACATATACTGTATAGAGAGTGAGGGAGAGAATGCAAGTTAAAGATTGTCACCATTATGGAACCTTCTTTGGGAGTTATATTTTTCTTTTCTTTCTTTTCTCTGGTTTGTTTTAAAAGTAAAAATATCAGCCTGTATTGTAGTTTAGAAATTATATAAAACACTCACAGTGCTATGATACATGTTCATCTTCTTGGAGTTTGAGTTTGTATAAATCAGAGGGTACTCTTGGTTACGACGCACATCTGTATCATAGAGCTATGTGCTGCAGTGTGTTGCATATTAGGCTCCCGATTTGTTTCTCAACAGTAGACATGGTCACCTAGTTAATCATAAAGTAGTCCATGACTTTACTGGTCAGGTGCATTATGCACTTTCGAGATGTACCTCTTTAGATTTTAATAGGTGGTTTGCTGAACTGTTAACTACACAAAAACACTGCTGCTTTTTGCTTCAAGCAGTGTGGCACCATCACCCAAGGTGATAACATTTTACAAATAAACGCAGTGAATTCCAAACCAAGGTCACGCTTTTGTCTTTTAACCTTTAGAACACATAAAACAATTCCTACCACAAACAGTGTTTCTTACTATTTGTGTATTGATATAAGTCTAGTAATATTTATCGTTCAGCTGATTCGTTTTCTTGGCTCAAAAAGGCAAAATAATGTGCTTGGGGGAAACGCTGTAAAAGAGACTATTATTGATGCAGTGCAATGTGCTACTCTTAGCCCTGCCCTAGCTCCTCAGTCACAGATAGTGATTGAATATTTTATAATAAAAAAAAATCTAATCATAAATTTCTTATTTTAAAACAAAATATTGTGCAAAACATATAACCTCAAATTGTGAAACATGTACTTAAGTAAGGGTTTAAAAATTGAACACTTCTTAAGTCCAAGGTTTGTAGATTTAGTCTTAAATTCTGTTATTAACCCACTCAAAAGTCAGCAGATTATAAAGAGATCCAGGAAGGAATGCAAATAGCTCAATATGCTTTTTAAGATCCTTCTCAAACCTAAAGCCAACCTGATACTCAAGCATTTTTTTGTATGTTGTATGTAAAGTCATGCTTTTGTACGCATTACATATAATGTACTTTTATTAAACAACAGACAATGTTTGATGTTAAATAATGAAAACGAAAATATTACAAAAGCACAATAGAAATCACAAAAATATGCACTTTTCAAAGGCTATTAAACATTTTATCTTATAGTTTAGTATACTTAAACACACACTGTCCTTTACAGAGCCTCTAACAAACTCGTTACCCAAGTTTGATTGTCAACTTTTAATACTGTAGTTTGAATTTCCTCAGTAACCTGTTAAATAGTTCAAGGTGAAGTACATTACAGATCTCAGAAACTACGACAGTCTAGTGATAAGAATACACCAGGAGCACATTGTGCCAAATCTTTTTTTTTCTTTTCATTTTCTGAGAAGGTACCTAGAAACTTGGCACTAGACACTTAAATAAATGCACATAATATGGTGATGGATCATAGCAAACTTCTAACTTAATGATTTACCTTTCTCTGAGAGGAGTCGTGGCAAGCATCCGTGGCTTTAGGCACACAGTTTCTTTTCCTTTAGAAATACTTTATCATGAGGTATCATCACAAGTCTACAAGTGCTCAATGGAATATAAGAAATCTGTTAAAGATCTTGCAACATGCATGTTTTTATCACACAAAAATACTCGCCCCTTTCCCCACGCCAACATTTGAAAGGCATCAAACACAGAGTCCAAATATTAAGTGGCATGAAATAAAAGGAAAATTTCCACATCAGTTACGCTGTAGATAAAAGAAACAAAGGACTAAGACAAACGTGAATGTGTGGCCATCCCATGAGAGAAAGGGAATCACCAACACTTGTAAGCTCTCACTGACAGGCACAATAAATCACTTTTCTAATTGTTTTTTCAAAAGGCGCTTTGCGACTAAGAGCAGTCACTGTGATAGGGACTTTAACACATATTCTCCCACCCGAGGTTCAAGGTGGGATCTATTCCTTTTTTTTCCTACAAGCAATACCCTGAGTTGGAAAATTACAAGCAAAATTTGCTTGCAGACAAGGTCCGCTATCCTGCACCTCCAGCAGGACACAAAAAGTTTAAAGGAGACAATTGTGTGGATACAGCAGATTTACACGCCATCAGAGACATCTGATAATTAGAGTGGTCCGAACATAAGAGCAACTTCCTATTTTACACGTGCAGATTGAGAATAATTTGAATTTAGACTGATTTAAATGCCCATTTTAAATAACAGTAGTGAGTTCACTCTCGCAAGCATTATTATGTTTGCAAGAATGATGGATTGCACAAACTTTAACAGCTGCACACAGTCTTTATGTGGCACATGTGGTAACGCTTAAAAATGCATTTACATATGAAACACAATAACTCTTTCCTACAATTTGTTCTTTTACACATTAACACAACAACTACTGTGCCTAGGTTTTTCCCAGTAGCAATAACTTAACAGAGATTTTAACAAAGTGGTAAAATATCATATGTTGGTGATAAATGATGATACTTCTGTTTGTAATTCCAGCGACCTGCTGAGAACTATGAACATGCTGCATGACAGCGTCCTAAAGTAAGAGCAACTATGGTCTGTCTGATGCATGGCAGCTTATGTGCTTTGTTTGCTGTTGACTGTAAGTTCCTTCTCAGAGCTGATACTGGTAGAGGTGGTCTCCTTACGACTGTCTCTCGACTTCCTCTCAAAAGTGGGAGAGGACGATGTTGTGCACTCTTCCCATGTCCGCAGGGGGACAATTCGAGCAGCCAAGCTGGGCAGGTGAGGGTGAGCGGTGGAGCGTCCCTCAGTCGTAGTGAAGCAGCTTTCCACAGCAGAGCTCTGGTTGGGACGGCCCTGCTTGCAGAACAACCCACAGAGTAAAGCCAGAAATTCTTTTCTTACACTACGGTGCATGTAGCCATAAATATAAGGATGTAGGCAGCACTGTAAAAAGAAGAGTACAAGGGCAAGGGAGGATAACCATGAGGGTATAGCTGCTCTGGTGAACATAGATATAGTATTCAGAATGGTGTAAGGACCCATGCTGAAGATGTATGAAGCCATGATCACGAAAACCACACGGGCTGCCTTGCAGTGGTAGTGAAAACGCCTGTGTCTAACTCGAACTGGGTATCTTCTGGCTGAGTAAGGTCCCTCCGGTGAACTGGGCTGCTGGGGCTGGCATCGCTGCTGTGGGCTGCTAGGTGCCTGGAAGTCCTGCGGGCAGGGCTGAGAGTAGGACTGTGTCTGTATGGGGTGTACAAGAGCGTTCTGCCTCCGGGCTGCCCTGAAAACCATCCAGTAACATCCGAGCATGATGAGCACAGGAAGCCAGAAAGAAAAGGTAGACACCACAGCAGAGTAGGACAGACTGGAAGACCACACCACTGAGCAGATATTGTGATGTTGGTCAAAGTCTATGGTCCCCCAGCCATAGAGAGGAGGTGTGCTCTGCAGGAAACTGAGCACCCAGGTGCAGATGATCAGGTTGGTGCCCAAGTGAGGGGTCATGCGAGTGGGATAAGAAAGAGGGTGAATAATTGCCAGGTAGCGATCCACAGACACAACTATAATGGTGTTAACCCCTGCAAATGCAAACAAGTGCATGAGCACCACCAGGGCCTGGCACAGCCGAGCATCCAGAGGCCACACACTTGGCATGGTAGCTGCAATAGCAAAGGGCATGACTAATATAGTCTGAAGTAGGTCTGCCAGGAGGAGGTTGAGGACAAAGCGGTTGGCCACATGAAGGAGCTGAGGCTTCCTTTGGAACACCAGCAGAACAATCACATTCCCAAACAAAGACACGCAGACAATCAGAGATATGAGCACCATCTTCACCACACTGTTAACAATGGAGGACCAGACCAGGCCCTGATTGGAGCTGGTGAAACCAAGCTGCCCAGGAACATCAGTGACATTTGTGCCCACATCAGGCTGCTGAGAACTTGACATTGTTCATGTGACGCCCAGCAGAGTGTTAACATAAAGTCAGGTTAGTCCCATCCTAAACAGGAGAGAAAAGCAGCTGTGGGGTGCTTTGATCTTTAGGGAGTGAGAACAATAAGCTGCTGTAGCAGGTAGTCTTAGTCAGTGATTTTCAGGTGCACACTGTCCTGAAATACATTTCATCTAACGTGACATATCATCCATAACATGTGAAAATAGTCCAGAAGACTCATCCACGAGTAGCTGGAAATGGTCAGCACTGATTTGCTTTTCATCATGATCAGTGATTAATCCCTCAACATTTCACCCATCGAACAGGCCATATTCCTCTTGCAGCGCACATCTGCAGAATGAAAAACAGAAGGGAAAAAAAGAGATAAATGCCACCGTTCAAACCCTTTGCATCGACGGCGAAGTGTCCGGGTAGTGGCAAATATCGCGTTCTGCTAATCTGGAATTGATGTCTAATAACGTGAAATGATCAGTGATGCGATATTTTTGCTCGAGGATGCTCACTCCCCTGCGATCGGTCTTCATCGCTTTGCTCCCATTTCAGCCTGAGCTCCAGTCAATGGCAGCGAGCTTTCACGGCTCAGCTAACATACGCTGCGTGTCTTCACCCAGCGGGGGTCTCTCATCCAGACGAGCATATCTTTCCGTTGCTGCGCTTTTCGGATTTCATGGCAGATCAAACATTTATTATGTTATCAGCTTTGATTCTTCCTCAACAGTCTTAGGCTACTTACGGTCGAGTCCTGTCTCCGAGGTGTCAGAAAATACAAGGACACCTGCACAGAAATCTCCCCCCCCCCGCTGGAGCCTGTCACCGACCCCCTCCCATCCGTTTTCCCTCTTTTGTTATGAGGGTGCAAATGCGTTTCAGCATTCCCGTGCAACAGTTTTTAATACATGGTAGAATCGCAAATATTATCCTAGTTAAAAAAACCCAAAACAAGTCTTCAGGATGGAAATGCACCCCCTCCGAAATGAAAAAAAAAAATCAAATAAAAATAAAAAACCAAGAATAACGCGTGTATTTGTTGCTTTGTTCTGTTGCAAAAACTGGTTAATGAAAAATATGAATGGTGTAGTTACACGTTATCAAGGTCTCAGTCAGTCCTTCAGATCTCCTAGGTAACAAGTGATTCAATCAGATGGCTGCTTGTGTGAGCTTCACATGATAGGATAGCCTGTCCGAGGAGATAACAGAATAGGACCTCCACTGCGGGCATTCCTCCAGAGCATTTGGAATTATACTTTCCAAGGGTGTCCATATTTTAACACTCTGGCTATGGCCTGTGGTGAAATACACACTAGGTAGGCTACACACTGTAATTCAGATTCATATTTTGTACCGTCTTTTGGTAATTACAGTGCTGAGTATGGTAAGCACTAGCTTACTTGTTATGCTTTTTGATTATATTACATTCTGCCCCATGACAGCTGTAATAGTCTCCAGCTTCCTGCAACCCTGAATTGGACAAGTGGAAGAAAATGGATGTCTGGCTGGCTGGATACATTGCAGTAAACTGAAGCATTGGCTGGCCCAGTCTGCATGGATAAGCAGACGTGAGACATATTAGTTTTAATTCAGAGCTCCTGTATTTCCTTTGTCTCATTTTAAATGCAGATCACTTGGAGGTTATTGTGGTCCTTTCATTCATATAATTCCATCTTCATCTTCAGATAGCTTGACTTATATGCAGATTTCTCCCTGTACCACCTCAGATCAGCTCTCCCACCCATCTTACTTTATGGTTCATACAGTGTGAACTTTAAGACAGTTAAAAACAAAACAAAAACACATGTTTACTGGTTTATCTCATCTGCTGAAGCAGTTCAAAAAAAGAAGAAAAAAAAATCTAGAAATTAGTAAAATAGTTTGGTCTTCTAATGCCAAATTTCTATTCCAGATCTATTTTCTATTAATATTTATATAATAAAAAATGAAACAATAAACATTTTAAAGATTACTTGGTATAATGTATTTGAAAGATAAAATATTAATAGAACTATGTTTATAACTCATTCATGTTTTGCTAATCAATCTCTGACCAGATGAAGCTGAACATGACTAAACATTTAAGTAAAACTCAGCTCCACTGAAAAGACATGGGTTACTTAGCCTTAATGGAACTTCTGATGGTTCTTTTAACACAACAAAGCTTTCACATATGGTGTTAATAATTATGTGGGATAACCCAGTTCTGATCAAATTATCCACAACCTATGAGATGAAGTCTCTTTATATGACTGTTTGAATAATATGCACGTTTGTTAAAGCCGCCATTTTTATCTTTGGAAACACAAAAATTGCTTCTACATTTCAGCCTTTGTAAAGGGGTAAAAAAAAGACTTCATTAAGATGCACAGAAAACAAAAGCACTACTCCATTGTGCAATCCAATTAGTCTGTAGCTTACATGGCCCACTAATCAACACTCGTAATTAGCCATTTTATTTCAAGTCTTTGCTCTATCCTAGCTATCAAAAAGCCCTTTGATGTGACTCTCGAGCACCCTGTGTTTTAGATTTAGATTGCAAATGAAATGCTGGTGACCGCAAAGGGGTGGGGAGATGTTTCGGTGTTCTTGTGTTGAATGGACTATGGTTCAAAGGGAGACCCACAGGCCCTCTGCCTCGTGGGATTATTAGATGTGCAATACAGCCTGAATGCTCACACTGGCCTCAAGTAGTGATGTCTGCGTCTCTGTCATTCTGCTTCCCTCTCATTCACTGTCACTCACTAACACCTACAGTAAAACCCAACAAAACTGGAAAGAAAAAAAGAAAGAAAGCAAGACACAGAATAGGCAATATGAAGCAGCCCTAAAACCGCACTAAAACTTTGTTGGCATGGCAGAATATGTACATTTAATTTAAATTACACATTTATAAGCAGCATTGTATAAAGGATTGCAGAATCAAGTAATACATCACCTAATACACTAATACATGCATCAATTAACTGATAAATCAAGACACTAATTGCAGGCCTAACACAGTGGATTATTAAAAACAATCCAATATAACATTCTTCTCAAAATGCACCTTGCAATTTTTTTAATTAGCCTAATTTTATGCTTGCCCAGTAGGAGGCAGAAAAGAACAATACAAGCTGAAGACAGCCCTTAAAAAGGTGTTTTGTATTAAATGTGCAGTTTTTTTTATTGCATTGGTAAGAGTGTGCTGCAAGCTAGCTAAAGCTTTTTTATCGTATTCAGCTACCTGCCCTGAATTGTTATCAGTACAGCTATCCAAGGAACCACTTGTTATCAACAAGTATCAGCAAGTATCACGATACAGTGTAAGCAAGCATTGTCCAGTTTCCCAAAATTTGTTGCTGCAGAATCATGTTTTCCTCTGTAGCCTGGCAGATACTCTTTCTTTCGTTCTCCTTTTCTTAACTGTTCACTCACTGCATGCCTGGAAGCTGCTCAGCTTCAAATGACAGACAAAACAGTGAAACAGTCAGGTATTTTTTTCTCTCAGAAATTGCCTAAAGAAAGAGTTAAAATTCCAAAAACTGTCCAGAAACACAGGAAGTGCAGAATAATGCTTTATATATGAAAGTGTGGGTAATTGTTCAGGCAGTCTTTCATTTTATTGTTTTGGTAGCATAAGACCTACAAAACAGGGAATATTTGCACAGCCTTAGCATATTTTCTTATGAAGCTTTTATAGCTTTTTATAACTCATGTGCTTACAGACTATATGCAAATATGTATAGGCTATATATACAAGAATACACTGAATTTGCTTTTCCCTGTAGATTATTTATTGAACGTTGTGATGCAATGAAAATGTGTCTGTTGTTGTATTTTAACCCAGCAGGGAATAAATGCTCTCTTCCGAGCTCAGTATGACAGTGCTACATTTTCATTTTTAATATCATAGTTTAGATTTTCTTTGATGAATTCTTACTTCATTTTCAACATATTTAATTTTAGTTTATTAAAAAAAACCTAACTAGTAGCACGATTGTAGAATACTCAGATAAATTATAAGTAGCTCAAAGTGGTAATGCAGGACCAAGTAAAAGGACACTCCATGTCCACAAAAAGGAACGATATTTAAAAAAACACAAGGTTTTACATATTTCTTTTCTGCTGGCAGCCATTTGCTTTTACTTCTGGTTAGAAAAGTTTAAAAGTCTAACTCATATCTTATTCTAGTAAAACTGAAAGCTTTGCTTGCCTTTCCCCTCAGACCCCACACACGTGTGTCAAGCAGACAAGATGAGCTTATGGTGCAGCAGAGGTAAGTCGAAGGAGTCTTGCGAGAGTCTTGCGCTCTGGAATTTTCTTGTCTGCATTTATTATTAATCCGTGCACATAAAAAATGTATACAGTGTAAACTCAGTTTTGATATTTGATATTAAAGACGTTACAAAGAAAACTGGTGTCAGAACGCCTTTCTTGCTTTTTCAGATTCAAATAATTTCATTTTAGCGTCTTAATCATAGTAATCTTGACTGAATTCTATCTAGTTTGTGAGAGCAACAACTAACAATTCATACTTGTAACTTATAAAGTCACAATTGATCAGTAAATTCTCACCTCAGAGGAAACCCTGAGGAAAATTATGGCTAAACATCATTACACCTAATAACTGCACTAAATAAGGATCCACAAAAAAGATGTTATCTCATTAGAAAGGCTCAGAAATAATTATAGCCTCTTATTAACAGCCTAAAGGATGAATACAGGTGTGGCTGAATGTAGGAGCTTAATTAAAATACTCTTTAGGAATGGAAGCTGTATTTGACTTGTTTAATTGTCTGAAACTAAGAAACTTATATAAACTTATATAATGTAAAGTGTCTTGTGAGTATGCATGGAGAATGTGGTTATGGTGTTTGTCCAGCACATAAACTAAACCACATGAAGACAAATGCATATAGGATAAAAAGGACGGTTGCAGTGAGGAAACTGAAAAGAAAAATGTCTGTAAACAAATAGATGACAAACATATTGAGATCGACCATCACAGCGCTGCTCTCTAAAGGGACCTTTTCATTTTATTGCACAATATCAGTTGTCTCTGAAGCCCAAACAGTTTAGAAGTAATTACTAGTGTTTTCCCCAGAAGGTGATTACTTTGCCACACTTGGCAGCCATTGTCACCAGCCACGCACCACACTCATCAACCCTACAAAGGGGAGAAGTGCTCGATTGATGATGAGCCCTCTGTGGCTAGGGGAGAATTTAAAAGTACTTGTATGAGGCTCTTTCAAGAGATTAACTTGCAATAAGGGCTACCTGCCATGGACACATTCCCTGTATTCATGGTGCCTGCACAAAGACTTTTTAAGAGGGGCACAGCTGCATGAAAGCAATTGGTGAATGGGGATAATAGTCACAAAAGACAACAAACCTCAAGTGTAAAGAAATAAAGTGTTTTTTAAGATTGGAGGCTTCTATTCAATGCGCCACCATTCCTTCTTTTGACCACTGAGGATCCGGCCACTCCATTACCCAAAGCCTCAATCTAATTATTTTAGGACAAGACATGTTATGGTGGAAAGTGGCAAAGAGAGAGCACTCCGGACCAAAGTGCACTTTAATTCAATCACTCTATTTGACAGATTCCTCCTTCAAATGGACGTCACACACCAGTTGACTGGCACAATTGGGAGGCTCCTGGCAATGTCCTGGGCCCTTTTTGGCTCTGGCCAATAACATAGAAATCGAACGCACTTGTGGACTAGTAAATGTAAAAGTAGATAGGTGTATATATCCTATTTACAAAAAGCAAACAAAACG